AAATATATATATATAGGATGCTATAGTATTATAGGAAACTAAAATATGAGAAATGCATAGGGTAAACAGTAATTGGCACTGTAAGCTGACTTCTACTTGTTAGTGGTTAATTCTCGTATATAAACAAATTTGTTATATTTCTTATAGTTTTGTTGGATTTTATTTTAAAAAGAAATGTTTAATTAATTTAAAAATCTAATTAAACTTTTTTTTGGATAATGTTAGTATAATTGGCACTTTAGGATAGTGAATAGCACTATAAATTAAGTATAATCATTGGAACTATTAGAAGTCTTAAAAAGTTATACCTAGATTTTTCTAAGCTCCATCTTATTATTATAAGACTTATTTTGCCTCAAATATTTTCCTTAGATCTCCATCTGAAAGTGGTTTCGTTGGTCTACTATGTTTGTTTTTTTCTTCAGATACATTTTTTAATAAAACCTTTCGTATTTTCTCGATATTTTGTAGAAACAGACCTTTATATCGGTTTTTCCTGTACCATTATGTGCTGGTGATCTATTTTCTTTATAAATTCTTCGGTTTTAGTAAAATACTCTCTGGATATTTTGTAGATAAAGAACAGAGGCTACAGCTGTTCATCCTGTATTGTAGTTGGATGGTTACTTATAGTTACTTTAAATTTTTCTGCTTCAGTAATTTCTTCACCTTTTTCTGAATTTGTGGTATTGACTGGTTAGATTAAACGCTAGGAGAGTATTATAATGTCATAGTTTTTGGCTTTGTTCGTCTAGTTTTGTTTGTCAGATTGTTTCTATAATTGGCTGACTAATTCAATTCTGCTTCATTTGTGCCCAATTTTTCATTGTTTTTCAAAATAATGGTGTTCTATTGATATTTTTAGGGCTTTCTAAAAGATTTTTGTTTGATTCGACATCCACGATCACCCATTCGCCTCCAAAAAATTAAAAATTTGCTACATAGTTGATGAAACACATAATGGTTAGTTTTTTCTGATACTCAGCAATAGTCTCTGCAGTTTGGATAAACACTGGTGCTGGGTACTGATAAATCGATATTAATTGAAACGATACAAGGAAAATTAGATACAGGTATTTCTGATTCAGTCGTTATTAGTCACTATTCTTAAAATATTTTGTAATTCATATACACGGAACGTAGATTATGTTAAATGGCTTTGCGTGCTTTCGAGGGCATCAGACACTTTGTAATATAATCCAATTTGTCTGGATTAAATGGGCACAGCCCACATGTCTCAAAACCATTTCATAACTTTGATTTATTTCAATTCGGTAAAAGTGTTGCCAATGTAGGCCAGCATCTGTTTTACTAAGCTTTTTGTCAAATTGTTTGTCCAACATTCAAAGACAGATGACAGAATATGGCGAGATTTAGGCAAAGTTGCGTCAGCTCAAGATAGGTATATAAAAATTATCACTGAAAAATGATATTATTTATTGTAGGACTAATGTAAAACGTTTCATTCGTATACAAATATACTCTGATAAGTAAATAACGTATTTAAGATCGTAAATAGAACTCGCCCTAGGCACTAACTTTTGAACGTCTGATCGTATTTTCTATAGGGGCAAAACAGTCATAGGTTTTACCGTCTATTTCAAAGGACAGTGATGCAAGACTTCGATTAGGCATGATCTACCTTATAATGTTCTATTCCCTTTATAAAAAACTTTGGTATGTAGTTTGAATTCAAAAACCCCACACTATTGACATTTTTTATGACATTGAAAACTGTGTCAGGACCTGGTCGGCTTTTAGGCTTCTTAGTTTTTTTGACTTTACTTATTTAGCGGGAACTTTAAGTTCGCACGTGGATGTTAAACGTTTGTGCGGCAATTATATTTCCATACTATTTTCATAGCTACCAAAGCGCCCGCTCTTAACCATGGGTATTCTTCATCAGTCTAAAATATGAAAAAGATAAGTTATAATCATCACTATACATACATCATTATACGGCACTACTCAAAGAATACAGTAATTATCAGTGTCAAGAATAGATTTTGGACAAACGAAAGAAAGTATAGTGATTGACATATTATATGCTAATCAATATGTTCTCTCTAACACCACTACATTAGGAAAGATACACCACTGACGACAATACGACACGTGTTTCGCCTCTACACGAGGCATCCTCAGGTGATGAAGACTCTCAATATGTTCAAATCAATATGTTGTCAAACAAGTTAAAGTATAGTCATTGGCTCAATTAACAAAGCCGATGCTTCTTTTTCATAACGATAAAATAACGTTTCATATGCTTTAATGACGTAAATTGATAAATATCGATAGAAACTTGCATATAAACTTACCTACAAATCACTTTTTTGTCATTGGCATTGGTCCTTATGCGACATAAGACACACGAAAATAGATAATTAAAGTATTTCTAATCATCAATAATGTTTTGTAAATCAAGTTTTGGTCACGGCGGCCATTCTCAACTGATACTATCCACAAGTGCAGGACAGGATTATAGCGCCAAGGGTGTGCGCAAGCACAGGTGCATTCTCTATTTCCTCACTGTCATAGTCCGATGGAACGGTAATCTGACACGACCGAAGAGAGATCAGGCGCGGGACCTACAACTTAACGTCCTTTCACGGGGCTGAAAGCTCCGCCATCTCCCTGACTCCGGGCTGCTGCTCAAAATTTCTTGACAGAAAACCCCAGTAACTGATTTTAGCCTGGCTCGGGTTTCGAACCCATGACCTCATCGTCACCAATCGCGTTTACGAACTCTAAACCAACGAGGAAGTCAGTAATAGTTATAAGATAATATACAATTATTATAATCTCGCGCGCAATTCATATTTTCTGAGAGTATTCTTAAGCTGCAGTCCTAGTCGAAATTTGAAACTATCGAGAAGGTCATCGTTATGATATCTGACGCTTGATCATGGGAGCTCGATAACAGATACCAGCCGCGCAAGCATAGTTACGTGATTTTTCTGCTTATACATAATTATATCATGCTATCTGACTTCGTCTGCTTGGTCATACACTGCGCAATCACCGACCGAGGTGGACGTGTGAGAGGTCAACGATGTGTGTTTTTCGTTTTATTATTGTTGCTGTGATTTTAATGAGTGTTAATTGTGACTGGGGACCTTTCCAAGCGGTTTTGTACTCTGATTATATTAACTGTTAGTATGTTAAATCTGTTAGTGTTTATTTTACACTAGTTTGTGTTGGATTTAGGCTTGTGTTGTTTTCATGCGTGTTGTTATCGTTAGTAGTTTATGTACAGATTTAGAAAGATGTTTTAATTGTGGAAAACATATAGTTAGTTTCTTATGAACACAATTAGCAACTGATTGTACGTTCTTATAATAAATATTATCTTTTAGGTGACTTTAAGACTACACTTTAATTTTTTTAAACACGTCTACAAAATAACCTTCGTAAGCGAAACGTGTTTGCTATACTATACTAGGTCATAATGATCAATGTCAATAACTTGCGTATTTTCCTTCTTAAAGGAATTCCTCTGAAGTTTATTAAGAAATAGTAACACTGTATTTACCATGATCATAATAAATATATTATTAACTGATCAATGACCGTGTAAGAATCTACACTATCTACCTATACTTTTCACTGTTACTAACATTCTTGTATAGGTCCTGTGTTGCCTGAAATAAAGATATTTTATTTTATTATTATAAGAAAACAATCTACTTGCTAATAAAAATTAAGAAAATATACGTTAGAATAAACCTTACAACGGTTTTGTTTTTGTTTATAATACCCAGGCAATATGAATAAAGACAAGTTACATCGAGCTACGTAATTAATAGTGATTTAAACTTCATTATTTGTCACATTATCTCGTAACAACCTAACCTAACCTATGTTTTTTATTACTCTGCCCAATCAGTAACGGACTATATTAATACGTATCGGCCATTTTAATTATTTATATAGTTTATATAATATTGCTTACACATATTGGATATTTTTCAAACTGTCTAGATATTATGAATATTGTTCGATTATTATCACTTGATCCACAACATATACATTATTAATGTAAGCAAACGATTCATATTGACCGATAACTATTGACCTATTGAAGTAATAAATTAGATACTTTTACGTTTATAAACATATAAACAATTAATATTAGTATGCACATTTGAATAAATGTGCATACTAATATTCCAATCTATTTAACATTTTTTACATTACAAGTGCAAAAAATTGCAAAACATTTTTATTAAAATTTCGATGTTTTTTATTTACACTAAACTTTGTATTTCATATAATCTATTAAGTTTATAACAATTCTTAATTCTAAATATGTACGTGTAGTGCGACGTAGTAGAAAATTGGATTAGAATAGACTATAATGTGTACGAAGGAATTATAATAAATTGCTGTCCTTATATTGGTCAGTATTAAAAATAAAAAAATAAAAGCTTTTTTAAGTATTATTGTGGCAATTGATATTGAAAAATATTAATAAGAAAAAAGTAAATAAGAAAATCAGACCAAAGAAGATAGACGGTTTTCAAGTGACGCAAAAACCATGTTCAGCTTCTTGACACGCACTCACGAACAAATCTTTCTTCTTTCTTTCTTTACCAGCCCGTAAAAGTTCACTTTTACTTGAGCAAATCACGTGTACCTAAACCTAAAATCATGTTGTTGGTTGCAAATTATTTTATGTACATACGTGTATGTGGTTGTGTCTGAACATATGACTCCCCCATAGTCTATATTTATTTTTAGTTGTTATTACTTAAACGCTGCTGTCCGTCTCCTAGTTCATTTTGACTAGTTAATAACACACACACACACACACGCACACACACACACACACACACACACACACACACACACACACACACACACACACACACACACAAAGATGAACACGTGTACCTACCTATTTCTTAATAAACTGTAGGGGAATTCCTCTAAGGAGGAAAATACGAAAGTTATTGACAACGCATGACAAGGTCAGTATTGCATAGTTTGTACAACAAGTTGAGCATGGTAGTGGCTTAGTTTTTGCATCATTTGAAATGAACGCAATTTGTTAGTTTTTTTGAACTTAGAACAAACAGTTAATATAGTAGGAATTTACAATAGATTATAATTTTAAACGAAGTGTCTTAGAACTTACACATTAATCACGCGTTATTCCAGTAGTGGACTGTAACGGTATATTTAGTACTAATTTTACGATTTGCATTACACAATTTATTAAAATTAAGCATTAAAATAGTTATTTGTATTGATATATATTCAATTTAAAATGCATTCCAAAATATTAATAAATGTATTTTTGCATCAAACAGGTAACCACAATAAAACTTTCGAGTTAGATGTCAGCGAAACAGATGTGTACTTTTATGATTTCAAAAACAATTTCAACGCCAGTTTTAAGATAGACAAAGTATCTGATGGCTTAACAAATTTCTACAATTTGGACGTCACTAGGAAACTTATATTCTTCGTACCTGGATACAAATCTCACATATATAAGAATACAGAGGAAACCATACGGCAGACGTTTAAAGATGTTCCCAATACATATCTTATAATAATAGACCATTCAGCGTATACATCTGTTCAAGGCAGCGGGCGAAAAGACACCTACGAGAGGTCAGTGATGTATGCTTATTCATTAGGAAAAGCATTGGGAAAATTGCTAGCGGATATCCACGGTAAAGGATATCCATCAAGCAAGATCCATTGTATTGGTCACAGCTTGGGAGCACAGATGCTCGGCTACGCTGGAACGACATACATAAATAAAACATCAGAAAAAATTTGGAGGATCACAGGTATCGACCCAGCGGGACCCTGCTTTTCTAACAGTTTCATCGAAGATCAAATCAGATCTGGTGTAGCTGAGTATGTTGAAGTATACCATTGCAATGCTGGAGGTTTAGGAACTACCGCTGTTTTGGCTGATATAGATATCTTTCTTAATAAAGGCAGAAAACAGCCCGATTGCCACGAAGGTTACATACCGGCTTACGGAGAGTCACAGGCTGCTAAATGCAGTCATAAAGCATGCGTGAAATACTGGGCAGAGACAGTGCACCACCCTGGCTGGTATTTAGCGTGGGCTTGCAACTCGTATAAAGACTTTTCTAAAGGCAAATGCGCTGCGAATGAAGTCACAATTGCTGGTTACTCCAATCCAGGGAATGCGACCGGAGTGTTTTATGTATCCACCGACGCTTATGAGACTAATTAATATAGTTTTTATTCATATTTTTTTTATTCGACCAGTACGAAAATAACCAGCATAACTATCTCAACATTATTAAGATAACTACTTAATAATAGCAGGAGCTGTAAATAAGATGCGAGATTTTTAGCTAACTTCAAAAAAGATTAGTTGTTAAATTTGACTGAAGCTATCGTATGTATGTAAAACGAAATCTTTGCCAGTTGTATACTCATTTTATCAACTTTTTTATAAACGAACGTTTAAAAATATAAAATAAAAACCTTAAACTAAACTAAAATTAACATCGTAATTTGCACACAATTTAATTGCTTGAGCTTTAATTCCACGATATACTTTGCCTTAGCATCTACTTGAGAAGCTATTATATTATGTGGTTATTATTTTATTACTTTCAGTTATTTATGGTCGGTTTGGCTTTTCTTTAAAGTCTTATTTTTAACTATACTGCGATCGCTTATCAAGTCTGTTAGGTCTACTAAATTCTTCTAATAAAAGAGATATATTTTACCACGTTTTTATTAACTTGATTTACGGTTCGAGCTCAGTAATTAATTTTAAAATAATTTCACAATTAGCAAAATACTTGATTTTGAACATAGACATCAGAATAGGATGACAATGTAAGAATTCATATAGTTAAAATACATTTTTTTTTACTTTTTAGTCCTTTTTAAAAACAAAATATTATATTAGTATATGAAAAAATTATACATAAACTTGTTTTGGATGATTTTCTATAATAATCACATTTGATCGGCATATTACCGATCGCAGTAGCAGACGGTTCGCAGCGTTAATATTGATCTTGTCTATCTGGGTATCTTGTATCTGGTATGTACTGGATGGCAGGTCTTAATTACAATAAAAAAATCCATGTGCAGCAGTGAATAGAGCAGTGATACGACAATAATATTTAAGAAGAATATATACTGGATTACTATCACTATATCTATCTATACTCGTATCACCATCTATTAGATCCTTTGTATGAGAGTTATGACTAGACATCGGATTTAATGCATTTAATATAACTCTATAATATAACTCTCTAATTATGGCGTTAATGCTTATTTTAGCCTTTTTTTTCCCAATCGTGCATATTTTGTTTAGTAGGAGGTACGTATTGGGTACCTAGGTGTCGAAGACGTGTAGGGTTCCAGCGCAGTGGCTGACTAAATTGACTGGCCAAATTTTAAATTTTGTTCAATGACGTCAGTTGATGTAGAGAAGTCGTTTTCGGCGTACAAATTGATTTGGAATAATACTTAATCGTATACTGTCCTAAAACCTATGCATAATTTTAAGAACATTTCGCTGTTTTTGTACCGTCTTTAATTAAAATATACAAAAATAAAAATAGTTTTTTCGATTTTGCATTGTGCGTAGTTTGGGCATATCAACAGCTTTAAATGCATATTTTGGCCTTCTTTAGTGAATATTTGCATGCATATTTTGGCACTTTGTAAGTGCATATAATCCGATGTCTAGTTATGAATGTTGCTATTAGTACTGGCGATACCCGGAGGAGTATTACTTTGAAGTGCTATCTACAGTACACATATTTTTTTAAACTGAAATGACATACGAACTCACAGTTGACCTGATGGTAAGAGGCTACTCCAATCCATGAACACCTGCAGCCAAGTTCAAACAAAGAAGGCTACAAGTGCGTTGTCATCTACGGACTAAGATGGAATGCCTCACAGTCTGTCATTATACTGGCTCTGTATACCACTGAACTACACAGTAGCTAACACAGCAGATTTAACAGTGGTAGAGCCACGCGGCAGCTTTTGCTGTCGCACGGATGGGCTGGCTCGAACCGGGGTGGTACCACGACCTCACAGAAAACCAGCGTGAAGTAGAGGTTTACCTCTGCGTTTCAACAACGCGGTGACAACGCATCTACATTTTGATTTGGAATAGAAGATAGATCTAGATGTCTATGGGCTGCAGCAACCACTTACCATCGGGTGGACTGTGTGCTCGTTTGTCACCCTTATTCTATAAAAAAAAGATCAAGCACTGCTATTTGACGGCAGAATTAGGTAAGTAAGGAAGCGTGTTTAAGAATTAAGTATAATAAGTAAATTAAGAAAACACTAGACAACATTATTATATGGGGTAGAACCACGCTACAGCTATATTATGGTTGCAGCACGTTTGGGTCGGCTCGACCGAGGAAGAACCACGCTCGCACAGAATACCAGAGTAAAATAGCAGCTTAACGCTGCTGTGTTTCGTATGGTGAGTGTAGAGAACCGGAGACCCTTTTTACTGGAAACGAAGCATTCCATCTCAGTCCTCACGGGTGACAATGCATCTGCATTTTGATTCTTAATCGAAGATAGATGTAGATGTCTATAGGCCACAGCAACCACTTACCATCAGATGGACTGTGTGCTCGTTTGTCACCCATATCCTATAAAAAAAAACTAGGAGTTCGTAAACACGTATTGAGGCGTCGTGGCAGACATTTCCTTACCCTAAAACCTTTTCAAAATTGAGAGAAGGCATGCGCCCAGCTGTGAGACGTATCATATTTACTTTACTTTAACTTCTACCGATAGACTGTAGAAGTATATAATTTAAACATACTTCCAAAGTAATACTCTTATAAGACAGATCCTAGAATCTCTAGATACTAACTAGAATTTGTGTCGGTAGTCTGGTTCTGACATATTCTGCGAAGTCTATGTAGTAAACATAGTTTAATTGGTTCCGCCGGATACCATTGTTTAATGAAAGAGTAAATTACTTTAGAGTAACTCAATTAGACAAACGTAGACAAGCGGAGCTTCACAAAATAATTCAGTCTTCCTCCACCAATCGTTCACTTGTCCGGAATTGCTTAATTTAATTAATTTCAAGATAACATTAGTTGATTTTGTTTGCATAATTCGCGTAACTTTCGCCTTGACGTTTAGGACACATCATGTTTTTTTTAGAATGTTTCAAGATCACAGAACACTATTAATTTATACGTCGAGATTTTGTCGAGCTGTGACATGACAACAACGGTGATCTGGACATTTTAAATTTGAACATCTCCTAATTGAAAAGATCTGGGATTTGTAAATTCCACTAATATCTTTAACATTTGTGCTCCCTTTACACTGTCATATATTAAAAATTAGTTTTAATATCTCTTAAGATACCCCACCGAACACAATCACTCTCTAACAAGAAATGTACACTCTTTTAGATTTAATATAAAAGTAAAAAATAAAGTTACAGCATATTTACATCCCGCTGCTGGGCACAGTTCTGCTCTTACTCCCGAGAGAGTTTTAGGTCAAGGAAGTTTCCACCGCGCAGCCCCAATGCGTGTTTGCGGAATACACATGTCTTCGAAGTATATGTTTATTTTTTATTTCTCAGACATGTAGGATTCCTCACAATGTTTCCTTTGTCGCCGAGCACGTGGTAACTATACACTTAAAATTGGAATTAACAATTTAATTGGTGCTGGTGGGGATCCAACCCGGGTTGCTCGCGTACTATGAAATTTACGGTGAAGCTAAGCCACTTACGATTCAATATAATCTTTGTTATATACTAGTTAAAGTATCTGTAACTGTAACACTATTAAATATTGTCTACAATCAGTTTGTATGTCTTATTAATTAAATAAAAATAAGCTGTAATTATGTACATTTAAATTTATTCGATAGTAACTAAAGGTAGTTGTAAGAGTTTTTAATATTCAAATTACTTAAGTTTTTTACGTGGTAAAGCCATGCTGTTACTATGTTATGGTTGCAGCGTGAATGGGTCGGCCCGACCAGGGAAGGATCGCGATCTCATATAATACCAGCGTAAAATTGCAGATCAATGTTGCTGTGTTCATATGGGGAGTGAAGAGAAATGTAAACGTTTTTACTGGAAACGAGGCATTCAATTTTAGTCATCTGGGGTGACAACGCATCTCCAATTTGGATTCTTAATCGAGGATAAAAGTAGATTTCTATGGCCTAAAGCATCCATTTGCATTCAGGTGGAAAATGTGTTCGTTTGACACATTTTTCTAAAGAAATATTACAATAATTTTGATACAATGTAAAAATAGCATAAATGAGTTTATATTTCGCCTATCAGCGGTATCATGTGAACCTTAGTTTGACGTTTAGTGAAAAAAAAAACTTAAATATTTTCCTCACATCCCACACAACATGTTATAAGTCTTTTCATATTTTTTGTAAAACTTTGCCTATGTGTGTGTATTAGGCGCAGTATTATATAAATTAAAAAGGAATTAGCATTTTAGTTTTTAAGTAGCAATAATTTATTCAATCGCTAAAAATAAATCGGTATAAAACGTTGAAGTAATATGTACTACGTACCTACTATATCGCATTATACTTCAATGATATTAAATTATTTCCTTTTTATAGGGGAGACATTTGCCATAATTTATGCTTGGCAAGTTGGTTGCAGTCGCAGTTTCGTTGTGTTTAATTGTTATTGTGTTGTCATCGGGAATATGTAATTAAAATGTATTATGTAATTGGAAGCAGATATTGTTTTGATGCAGGACGTAAATTGTATGTACGGAATATAATAGTTCGGGGAAAAAGTTTCTTCGTATATTTTTTGTATAAAATTGAAAAAAAATCTCTTTAGTTTTACTGTTTGTATCTGGCTAGTTTTAATATCAATACATACTTATAGGACATTAAGAAATAGAAAAATAAAAAGTAATAAACAGTGTTTGTCTTGAAGACACATGATAGAAGTGAAACGTTTGTATTACAGGGAAACATTTCAATTATCATCATTGAATTTTGAATAGCATAGATTGTGTATATCATTCATTTATTTACATAAAATTATACACATAAGTGTGTCGTCTTCTTCGATCTTAGGAACAGAAATTATCAGTTTAGGCAACACTACGACTCACCACAGTGCATGATGTAATTATTACAGATACCAGTTTAACACAAAATACTCATTAAAATTTGTTAATTAGGTAATTATTTATTATTTATGTAATTTTTTATATTATTTTATTTTAATTAAACCAAAGTTTTATATAATATCAAAAAAATGTATTTAAATGAAAATTTACAAGTTGTTATTTAAAATAAACGCTGCCCTGCCTTATTGGGCTTCAAAAATTACTTTCTTGCTCATTTTTTTAATAGCCATCTACTTCATTCTATAAATAAAGTCTTTTTATCGAACCGAAATTGATTAACTATCGTGGTGGTACGTAGAATATGTAGTAGATGGCGCTCTCACTCTTTCTAAAATAAATACGTGTACTTACCTTGGTAACTGTCTTAATAAAATTAATAGATTAGAATTTGAACGAAAGACCGTTACAATCTTGTAATTGTAATTGTATTACTATATACTTTATGGTATGAAATGGCCTGCGTTCACGATTTGAATGATCGACCTGAATGACGTTGTACATAGTTTTTACTCCCACCACTTTTCGTCACACAATAAGGTTGCCGATCAGAATTTCGAAGCCCTCCCGTAAGAAGTTTCACTTCATAAAATATTTACCCGCCATTTTTCAATTGTTTTTCTGCCCACCAAAATGAGTGAATGTAACGAAGAAATTTGAAACAATCTGAAGTTTTATTACAAAAAAGGGACTCAAGTCGTGAAAAAAAATTGTCACGTTTATGGACTTAATGCAGTATCAGTAAGAGTAGCACAAAGTTCGTTCATGCGTTTTCAGACTCACAGAATTTTGATGCCAAAGATGCAGCATATGACAAGATCGCGCGAAAAAGATTATGGTCAAAGGGAGACAAATTCTACAGACTGTGTAGTAACCCGGATTAATACGCATTAAGGTGATGCTGTGTGTATGGTGAGATTGAAAGGATATAGATTTTTACGAGCTTTTACCGCCGAACAAAACCATAAATTTGGATCTCTACTGCCATCAACTAATGAGACTCAAGCAAGAAATTGACAAAGAACCGGCCGGAATTGATCAACAGAAAAGGAGTGCTCTTTCGTCATGATAGCCTCAGACCACACACATCCCAAAAATGCCACTCGGCAAAAATTGAGAGAGCTTGGTTGGGAATTGTTAATGCATCCAACATATAGTCCTGACCTTGCACCCTCAGATTTTAACCTGTTTCGGTCTTTTCAGAATTTTTTGAATAGTGTTAGGTAAACATCAAGAGAGGACTGTCGAAACTAACTATCGCATTTTTTTAATAACAAGTCCCAAGATTTCTACAGCAACGGTATTATGTCATTAACTACAAGATGGCAACAATATTGTAACTAAATGTAATTAAACTTTGAAAAAAATGTCTTGAATTTGTATATAAAATACGAAGAAACTTTATCCTCGACCTCTTAT